AGTCCATCATTTTGAATTCCATTTTCCACAATGATGAAGAAAATAACTAGTTCTAGCATCAAATGCATGGGGAAAAAAACTGGTTTTCTCCAACATTATAGCAGTTTTTTTTAGCATCGCCTCAAGCGATTTACAAGTTCCCAAATAATAAGAGGTTACTAATAACGCCTTTAATAGAAAAATAACTCCTTTATTCAAGTCTAGACTAGAAAATTTACCTTTGAAACTCGATGTAAAAGCACAACTGAAATTGTCATTTCGTACGGCTATACATTGCATAATCGATATTGAAGACTTCATGGTTACTTACTAATGAGGTCTGAAGAACAGGAGATTTGGTACCCGAATCACTGCTGTCATACTGCTGTAGAGGCCTGGTTGATAGAAATGTAAAACTGTCCCCTTTTGTAATCAATTGAAGGGAGGCTGAAAGAACATGTAATTTATACGTTTTAAACGCCTACAAATGTAAAAGTATTATGGTATGCCAACCTAAAAATAATCACTACCAATAAAAGCTAAAATAAACCAGCTCCGTCCATGCACTGGCCACCTGACTTACACATATATTTGATCACCTTATCTCTTCAAAATACCCAGATCAGTTTCCGTATGTAATTCAAAACTGTACAGGAGACAAGCTGAAGAGATATTTTTTCTGACTCTTCAATTAAGACAGATCTTTTGCCTTGGTGAGATGTCACATTGATATACACGCTGACAGAAAAAAAACGGGTATAAACTTGAGGATTGATGATTAATAACTTCTACGAAACGCTTATATATTTCGTGAAAATAAACTTGCTGATACATTGTTTCCGATGCAAGCCTCGATACATAAAAATTGTTTTGATTCGAAAACAAACTTAGCGGGTTTCTTCGCATTCTACCAACATTCACTCTAAGTTATTGACGCTCTGCAATTTTCTTCAAGAAGTAACTTATGTGAGTTATACTGGAGTGTCACTGTTTTCTTCAAAGACCTTCACAAAGATTATTTGCCTCTTTGTTGCACCACTCAGCTGGTGGGCGTTCCTGCGGGTCTGTTTTCCAGCAACTTTCAATCATGGCTTTCCAGCGGATTGGAGGTGAATCACTGACCTCTGCGATACTAGTGCAGCGCCCTACCAATTGAGCTAACAAGCCAACTGGGAGCAGGCCGTTAAGTTGATTCGTAATAAACCCGTGAAAGTGATAAATGAGATGCAATGAATATATGAAGTTCATATATTTTGAACTGCGGTATTAGATACGTATGATGTGCAATCCTCGTAGTAGATAGCGCTATTTATGCAATAGCGAAAATCAGACCTGAAAAAAA